TACACTGGTCATTTGAAAAAAAATATCTCTCCGAGGAACTTGATGGAGCGAGGTTCAACTCCGAGAGCGCTCCCGCCTCGGCTGCTCGCAATGCTCAGGGGAAAACGTGAAGTTTCATTTTCACACCGCAGCCCCCTCCTGCCCCCCCACCACCCTCCGCCCCAAGTTGTGGCTGATCATAAGGTACCTGATGGTTGGGGTACTGCTCCTATCCCCATTTCACTGATGAGGAAACCGAGATGGAGGTTGCGAGCTGCTGAAAGCCACGGAGGGAAGGCAGGCTACAGTGCCGCCCGAACCACTAGTTTGCACTTGACTTTTGACTGCTCAAGGATTCTTTCCTATGAGCTCTCCTCGGGCTGTGCGGACCCCTGCCTTTGTAGAGAGACCCAACGCATCACTGCGAGCGGCTCTTCAGGATTTTTGACTTGTTTTTTTTGTTTTGTTTTGTTTTGTTTTTTTTAATCTGATACGCTTTTGAAAGGGAAGGGAAAGCAGTCAAAAGCAGAGGCCTCAGACTTGTAAAGCTGTTGTTCCCATGACTTTGGGGAAGATTTTCAAAAGTACATAATGAGAGTTTGGGAGCTCTATTCCCACTGACTTTCAAAATCTTACCTTCAGTCTGTGAGCTAGTCCTCTTAAACTCAGTTTGACTACTTGCAGATGAACGTTAGCAGGCTCAGGGCCTAATACTTCTCATGATTCCATTGCACCCTTCTAGAGCTACACTGACAAAAATATAAGCAGAACAAGTTTTGAAGGGAGAGGTAATTTCTCTCTCTCTCTCTCTTTTTTTTTTTTTTTTTTAACCAACTGACACAGTTGAAAACAGCAAGCTTTTGGGCTAAAAAGCTTAGACCATCATGGGTATGAAAACTACTGCTGCTCAGAAAACATGTAATTCTGGAGCTCCTTAGTGAAAAAGTAGTGCAAGGCAACATGTAAGTAATCACATAGCTAATATTATGCATTTATGTTATTTTCCTTGGGTTTGAAGTTGGGTATTGCTAAACAAACTGATTCCTAGTTTTTTGAAGCAAGTTCTCAGTGAAAATTATTCAGATGAAAAAACTTCAGTTCGTATAACCTTTCTGTTAAAGAGGAGAAAATATAAATGGTTTGCAGTATATTTACATTTTTGCTCTTTTTTATTAAAGTTACTGTGAGTTATATTTTCAAAAAGTGTGCCTTTCAACTGAAAAGAATGATAGTAAATGTCTTATAAATTTTTTCTGAAGGTTATGTGCCTGTAAAAAGAGGACTTTGCGGTAGAAATAGTAATGAAATCAGTAAAGAAAAATATAAAATTATGATGTTGCTGTTACCACTTCTCTGTACTTATATTATGTATAGTTTTGCCCTAAAATAATTATAGTTATTATTTTTCACCTATTTTTCCAACCGTAATATAAGATATAGAAGACAGTATGTGATTTTGTTTAACAGGTCATGGTATTCTTTTACATGAATCACACTATTGCCCTTCCAAATGTCATTTCTGAGGTTTCATTAAGATTTTCAATGAAAGTGAAATTTTTACATCCCCTACTATTTAATAGTTGCTCTCAGATTTCAAACTTAGTGCTCATAGGCCCCGATCGTGGACAGACTGAAGTGTATATTATTATGTGTAAGGACACTGAGTAGTTTTCTTCGTTATTATGCTCTTGTATATTGGACTTAAGAAGCTAATAGTGATATTACACAATCATTATTCTCAGTATTACTTATGACTGCCCAAAACATAAGGCTAATGTAATAGTCTTGATTTACATCTTCCATTCGTATCTCTGGGACTTAAGTTAAATAATGCACAACTATAATAATTTGAGTATCAGAATGAGTAAATATTTAACTGAGTATCAGAACAAGTGAGAAAGGCAATTGCTATAATCTAAAAATCCATGTAATACGAGGTTGGTATTGCATTCTCTGGCTTTAGCATCTGGGAGAGGATCATCAGTTTGTTTCCTCAGTGACTAGTGAAGCCAAAAAGTCACAGCAGGAACACAGCTGAGGACAGAAGGGAGAGAAAGGGTTTTTGAACCTCACCAAAAGTGATGTCAATTCTTTAGGTAAAATTTCCATTCCAAACAATTTAGGCTTATCAGAATGGTAGAAGTCTTACCTGCTGCAGTAACAAATATGAGGTTAAACTGCAGTTTCTATAATGGGCTCCTTTCCTCATACAGTTCTCATTACAGCACTACCTGAACAACTTCCAGTGGTGCCTATCCTCTGTGATAGATTCTTCTCCTTAGAGAGTGTCATTATATTGTCTGAGAATCTCCTGATACTGTAATAAGTGACATGACCAGCGTTTGTCATATTATTTGTTCTCTTGTTGCCAGGGGAAGGAGCATGTGCGGCTGAACATTTTCAGTTTATTTTATGTCTTTTCTTCTATATACGTGTTATGTATTTATGTTAGTGAGGCAAGGTCGAAGTAATGTGTTTTGTTCTTCAAGCAAAATGGAGTTAGGTTTCTGCTGGCCCTTAGCTCCTAGGTACATTCATTCCATAGACTTGCACCATCCCCGAGAAAGTTCTGTCTCTAGAAATGATAGCTTTTCCCCCCTTGCTGCACAAGTTCTCTTGTGTCAGAAGAGGGAAGTTGTTGACATCTTGATCCAGTCTAGAGGCCTAGTAGTCATTTATTTAGGAATCCTGGATTTAGGCCCTGGAGGATCTTGAGACGCTGAATTTGTAATTTAAAATTCTAGAGAAAATCAATATAGAGTGGAAGAGAGTGACTTACAATAACCCACGTTGCTGAGATGACATCCCCCCCAGCTTTCTGTACTTGGAGGTTCCTATATGGGGCAGACTTCATGCTTGGATATACTCAATTGGCTAGGTCCAATTGAGAGGTGGCAAAACCAAAGCAAGGTACTTATCAGCCAAAATGTCACAGAAACTCATAGTTAGTCAGGATGCTTAGAAAGCTGGAGGCCATCTTCTGACTCAGGCACACATTACTTTACAAATTACCTTGCAATGTGTTTCTAAGATTTATTTTACAGTTATGAGGATTAGAGGAATTTGTTGTAATGAAAACTGGCATTGTATCATTACCGTGTAACTTTTTAGTTAGATTCTTTGGCTTGCCTGGATACTTCCATGTTATTCCATTACCTCCATCTGGTCCAGTTCCTAGGTAAGTTAGACTGATTGGAGAGCACCAAGATACACCCATATGTAGTAATTATAATAATCTTTTCAATAATTGCATATCTACATATTATTTTGGTATTCTGTGTTTGTATGGCATATGGACATACAGCCAGAGGGAGATCTGGAATTTTTTCTTAAATAGAAATTTTATAAATAAAATAAATTTTTTCTAATTTGAGCCCTGTGTTGCCCTTGATGCTTGTCCAGCCTCCTGTATTCCTATTATAGATTCATCTAAGCCTCCCTTCAGACCTCTTCTATAAGTTTAATATCAGTTAAGTTTAATGTTTCAGTTTAATAACGTAACTGTAGCCGAATGTCCTCTTTCATGTATGAGTTTTCTACTTCGTTCTGTAGCCATTCAATCTCCGATTTACCCTGACAAACATAGGATTTGGAATTCATTACTTTTGCAATTTCAGTCTGCTAGCAATGATAGAGGTTTTAATATAGAAAGGACTGAAGTGGACTGCATTTACAGTGAAAACAGAGTTCTGAATTTGCCAGTATAGACCTGACCTAAGGATGCTTCTGTAGGTAGTAAGAACTGCAAAAAGTATGTGTTGGCTTTGGACTTGCATCTTCTTTATTAGATTTCCTATAAACTTCCATATGGAAAAAAAAAACTAGTTTGTTTTTTTTTTTTTAACTGTAGGCTACCTCCTGGTTTTTCAGTAGCCAGCTTTAATTTTTTTTTTCATCCTCTGAAATGCTCAATGTAGCATAAAGACTAATGGTGTAGTCAAAATGTTGGATTTACTGTATTTTATTCAGATCTTTTAATATTGACTCTAACATAGCTATAGGCCCGACTCATGATAATTAACATATCCCTGAGGATTTAAGAAAGATTTGAAAGATTTGTTGTTAAACTTGGGTTCAGTGGTAAAGTTTTCCTAGAATGGGCTAACTGTAACTCATAAATGTTTTAATATTTTTCTGGATTTAATGGTTGTGAAAAGTACTGTCTTGGTATCTGTGAAAACTGAAGCCCATTCTTTATTCATGGATTAATTACAGCAGAGCAGTTGCCAAGTGATCTTCTTCACAGCACCCATGAACTTCAGCCTTGAACTGAAGAGGACCCATCAAATGGTGAGAAAATAGTGTGGTTCTTGTGACTATTAAGTTATTGAGGGGATGCTCTATTATATTTTCTTCCTAGCATTGGTTTTGTTATGTAATATGTATTGAAGTTAGGTTTTTGTAGGGTAATTGCTGGGACCATAACCTAATTTCTTGCCCTCCCCCAGTATTTCAGCTGTTAATTTCCCAGGCTTTGGTATCTTCTAGATGTCCTTGACGTTTCAGAAATAATTGTTAGTGATACACTGAATTAATTATCTATTTTCTTGATTACTTGCTTTAGCCTTAGTCCTGTGCATAGTGCTTAACTCTGTTCACATAAGTAGTTTTTATCAGTAGCTCTACTTAGAGGAGTGAAGTTCAGTTATGTGGAATTGTTTGAAAGATTGAAACTTATGCTTTGCAGATAAGTATGCCTGCATTTAAATGAAATGTTACTGAAATTAATGCAGGAGTGAGGGATCTGGAAATGCTTTAGCTAGTAGTAATTTGTTTGCTTTTATGCTGTTGAATTTATTTATTTTAAGACAGCTTAATGTAAGTTGTTCATTTGCTTCTCTAGTTTCCCAATTTCTGGGAAATTTTGAAATCTGAGCTTCAAAACATTTATAAAATCTTAGTAATGCTCATAATTCTCCTGAGAAGAACAGCACATTATTTTATTTAAACATTTTATGAAAAGGTGACAATCTATAGAGGAACTAATTCTGTCTCTAACTCACTGCCTTAATCAGGTCTTTAATCTGACTCTCGCACCCTACCTTAAGTGATGATTCTTATATGTATAGATTTATTAAGCATACCTCTCAAAAACAGGGCATTTCATTTTTTTACAGCTATAGAAAAAAGATGGAATATTAGTAGCAGGTATTGTGTGTGTAAGAATAGAGTTGCTGAGTGTTGATACTGGTTTCCTGGTCATTTAGATAGGTGACAGCTTAAAATACTGGTGCAGAGAATGATCCATAGTCAGGAGACAGATCATAGAATCATAGAATCATTAAGGTTGGAAAAGACCTCAAGGATCATCAAGTCCAACCGTCAGCCCACACCACCTACCTCACTAAACCATGTTCCTAAGCACCGTTATCTACCACAGTGATCGGAAGTTCACAGGATGCTGAGAGATGCCCCAGACCTTTTTGGTGCATCAAAAAGTGGCTCAATTTCTGTTTTTGTGTAGTAACTTTACTGTAAAGAGTAAAAGGGACAGAACCCTACTAGCAGCTTATGATTTCCACATTTTCTCATATCTGTGTGGTTGTTACCATAGAGGTAGGAATATGGGATATTAACCCTCTTCCAGCTATTTACCAAATTGAGTTTGGAAGTGCAAGTGTGTTTAAATAGGCAGGAGAGATGGTGAGCCCTTTATACCAATAACTGAACTGCACTCTGTGTTAAGAATTACTTTGGTACTGTTACCAACCACTGAACTAATTTTAACGTTTGCCAGGGTTATTTAACATTTAATCTATTAAAAATAAGATTTAATACTTAAGCCAGAAAGTTTTCAGGCAGAGTGCGTTGAGATATAACCCAGAGGGCATTTATTTTTAATACGATTCAACAATCTTTTTTTTTCTTTCTCAGCCACTTTTTCTTTTTGAGATCTGATTCTTGAATTAACTTGAAGCACTTAATTATTTACATTCTGCTTCATCAGACAATTAGTCTTGTACTTAAGTCACAATACTTGCATGAGTATGGCTTTCGAGGGAAAAGTTTGAATCCACATTAGTCCCTTGCGTCTTGTACTTGACTTTGCCTGTCTGATAACCAATTGGCTGGATCCAGACTAGTGTCAAAGTGTGAGTCTGCATGTTATCAGGGTAAGGAGCTGGGGCTCAGATTTGAGTGTGCGCTCGATACTACAGACATAGTGAATGATTGCAATGAATGATTTGAATTTATTTTCAAATTTAAGCACTTTAGTTGTTCAGCTGAGCAGAGTTTAGACACTCCATAGGCTTAAAGTAAAATGGTTCAAGTTAAGTGGCTTAAAGGTTTTCCTAAAGCATTTTTTGAATCAATGTAATTCTTTTGCTTCAATAGAAGAAGAGAAAGGTCAATGTCAGACAGTTTTGAAAAGGCCATTCTCATTGCTCTGCTAAGAAGATAATTTTGTTTCTTTTATTGCATCACATTTTTGGTTAAATCACTTTCACTTCCATGACTCTTCTTATACCCATTGTTTCCTGCTAACTTTTCCTCTAACGTCCAGTTTTCTATTAACTTTTCCACACTGACTATTATTTGTCTCTCTTCTTTTTACTGGAGTTTTGGAGAGGTCATTATACTTTTTCAGTTTCTTTCTGTCTTTCATGAGTTCCTGGAATCCAAGAACAGATAAAACCCTCTGATTTCAACTATGCCTTTTTGGTGAGAAACACACAAGCCAAGATTTAGTCCTAGATCAATAGAAAGGATAAGCAGAGAACTGTGGATGCCATTTATAAAAAAGGGAACTGGGACTTGCATATTATTAGAAATGATGGGGATATCAGGATCTGGATCCAGGCAGTAGGATCAGGATTTTAAGGCCACTCTTTAAAAATCACTATGCTTATTCTAAAAAAGAAAAAAACCCCAAAACAATCAAAAACTCCACAAAAGTCCCAGTATACTGAATAGATTCATTAGACTTAATGTCACTGTTCTTTTATTGGGCTGTATATCACTGAACTTCTCTTAAGCCTTAGGAGAGACAGCATGAAATTGGAAGAGAAGCAGGGATCTTCATGAAGGGCAGTCAACTGCAGGCTTGGTAAGTTCAAAAAAAATATATAAAATTTTATTTCTGTTGAATTTTCACCTTTATGAAGGGGCATATATTTAGGGCCCTGTTCACAGTGGCAAAAGACAGTTTTATTGAAAGAGTCTCTACATTGTCTGGATTCATTTACAGTATCACCATGTAAAAATCTGTGTTCTGTTATAGCTGAGTTTGTGGTGTAACTCCTGAATGAAAACAATAAGTGACATAAAATTCATTAGTTATTTTCACAGTGATTATGCTACGGTGCTTTCATGCCCAATTTCTGAACAAAACAAGAGATATAGGACTGTGTTGTTTCCTAACAACTTTTGAGTCCACTGCTTAATTTCAGCTGCATTTGATATAGAGGTCACAAAGTCAAAGTTCTACCATTTAGGTAAAACTTGGCAGCTGGGAGTAGAGAAAGGACTCAGATTAGTGATCCTGGAGTAGAAAAAGCTGCAGCATGGACTCAGAAATTTTCTGTCCTGTTCAACCTGTTGACTTCCCAGTCAGCATACTTGGTTGGTCTGCCAGTCAACGCATGTATAGTTCAGACGTAGCCACAGTGTGGCCACTCCTTGTTCTCCCAAAAGTGAGAAGCTGGTGTTTTCTGCAGGAATTTAGGGAAATCTATTTAGAAGGGAATGGGAAACCAGCCAGGGTAGTGTCAGCCTGGGATTACTGCACAGCTCTGTTGGTGGAGTGTATGCACAAGCACACTGATAGGTAACTAGACTTAATTACTTCTGCTAGTCATGAAAAAAAAAATTGGTTTTGCCAGGGCCTTCTAGTCTCCCAAACCACTTGTGAATCAATCAATTTCATGGTAGTTTCTATACCTGGATTAGATGCATGTTTTTCCTGTCTGCATCAGAGAAGGAACTGTTGAGACAGCTTCAGTATTTATTTCTTTGACTGTTTGGACATCAGCTCTGAGCTGTTTCTTAGGCTGTCAGAATTGTAAACCTGTGTTTTCAACTCTCACCAGAAACTGACTGCAATTTAGACTGCAGCTATGTGTCCCTGACCCATCCTACAAGCTACAGTCTTTGAGCAGTGCAGGAAACATGCATTGTATTCCAATTAACTTCCTTTGTGAAGAAAGATGTGGAGATAGGAACAGCAACAGAAAAGAATATTAGGATCTGGCCGCCTCAAGTTAGCACATTGCATTGCAACTTGGGAAATGCTAAATCTGTACCTGCATGGTTATGACTACCACGATTGTCCTGAAAAGTATGGTCTGTCCCTTCTCAGTCAGTGAGAAACGGGCTGATTACGCTTGCCAGACATACTGGTTCACTCACTTTGCAGGCTCAGGTAGGCAGCACTGACTTGGCTGATGTCTGATACTTCTAAATTTTCTGCGTAATGTTAGACAGGGGTCAAGATATCTTATAACACTTTTTAAACAGAACTTAGCACTGTAGCACTGTTCTTTAGAAACAGTTGAATTTCTTAGAATAACAGAAGCCTAAGAGTTATGCATATGAAGCATGAAATACAAAAGCAGTAACATGAGGAGAAACACTTCCAATTCAATATTGTAAGACAACTGCCTTGAAATTTGTCATCAAGTCTGAAATGTGTATTTTAAATTTTTTTGTGTGTCCTCCTGCCCATCTGAAAACCATCGATCTGGCAGCAAGGAATAAAAAACTGTGATACTCTTCTCCGTTTTCATGTCTGTTGTTTCACAAAATCAAAGCCAGTAAGAGAACAACTGGTCATGAAAAAAATAAAAAGACTACATTCCATTTATATGGAACTTTTGGTTTTTCTCTTGCACTCTCCAAACCTTTCATTTGGTCCCAGCTTTATTTTTTTAGAAAAGTACTGTTGTTTCCCTTATGCTATCTGTGTTAAAGGAATGAAGATTATCTTCTGCATATTTCAAGGATCTAGTGGTTGTTTTTAAACCTTTATCACCAGTACTCTTGCATAGTGTCACCAGTTAAATATTATTTAATGGAACCTACGGCTAACCTATTTTTAAATAGTTTATGATATATAAAACCATTGTAACTTACAATATTTTTCCTTTTAAAGATCAACATAGATGTGGTTTTAATAAGAAGAGTAAGGTTAAATCATGAATGTTAAGTTTTGCGTGAACAGCAAAGTGGTGGTATATTCTTGTTTAACATTATGTTGTGTGCTTCCTGTCTTTTAAATGGTGTTCACTAAGAGCTTAACCTTGGCAAATATTTATTTGTAGTTGATTATCATAGGGATTTTTTGTCATGAAGACCTCAGTAAATTCACAGGCCTATGCTGTGTCCCCAAAATGGGTGTTGTGGGACAGGTTTTAAGAAGGCATAAGCACTAAAAAGCCACTTGCATCATAGACTAAAGAAGCTAGGATAATTAATTTTTAGAAAATAATAATTAAAATTTATATTTCAAATATGTATCAGTAAAAGCTCCCATAATGTGCTGCCACTACCTGTAAAGTCCAGAAGCAATTTTAAGACAACATTCTTTAAAGAAGGAGCAAAAAAAATCCTATAAAGAATGTGCAACTTAAAGATGTATGGAACTCCTTTATTATGTGCTAAATGCTGTAATAAAACAGGCTATCAGTAGGTTTTGTTGCATGTTACTAATTTTATTTTTTTTATCCTGATATTTTTGCAGGTGTGTGGAGGAACAGGTCCTGTTCTTGCTGTTGTTACTCCCACATAGGCGGACTCTGTAACTGATTATGTGTGGGTAGGGCCCTATTGAAATTAAGGAGATTCTGCAGTAGTGCAGGGTTCTTTTTGTGAAAGTTCAGTTGCAAGATCAGGACCCCACTGTGACTCCTTACTGTGAATTCTGTCAGTGTATCATTGACTGTGCTGGAACCTGCCTTTTGGGATAATGTAAGTCCTGCTTCTACCCCAAATGTACTTTAGACATTAAATAATCATAAAACATTTCTAATTAGAAAATTAATATAATTTACATGCATTCTTTTAATTATGTTTTTTTGGCAGTACCAAATAATATATTCCTCAAAACTTCTTAATGGCACTGAGGCTTTGTGGATAGTTGGTCACATGATGAGAAAATTCAGCTGTAAGTACATTGAAATGATTGAACTTTTCAATAGTCTTTACTGTTGTTGACAAAGTAATAATGATAAAAAGGTGAAGCAAGAGGTTTGACTTATGCCAATTGACTTCAGTTCTTTTTAAAAAAACTATACAATATATCCATTAAGGATTTCATTATTCCTGGGTAATTCACTATGTGAACCTGGAGTCCTTCCATACTGCAATTAGGTAGGGAGTTTTAATTTGCTTGTTTTCTTTATTTTCATGGTAGCGTGTCTCTGACTTGCTCTGTATTTTCACCCATAAACTTTCTGGAATTTATAGATCTATAAAAACTCTTTATACCACCAACATTTCTGTAGATATTGCAAACCTATTTACTAACATAATTGTCTTGCTGAGTTGAACATTGCAATGTTAATAAATACACACTTATACTTGTGTCAATGTAACTTGGTTAAATTAAACTAAACTGAGCTGGCATTATGAGTGAATTTGATCATGCATGCTGATTAGCTATAGCCTTAGGCAGGAACTACATATTTATTATAACTAAGTACTTTTGCTTAATCAATAATAATTACCCATATCATATGTCAGTGGATTCACCCAAAATAACTATAAGTATCTATGCTTGGATTAAAAAGGAAGTTCTTTCCCTGTAGCTATGGGTACAGTCATTGCTATGATTCCTATTTTTATATACAAATGAGCGAAAACTACATGTAGGTGTTTTCCCTGTATAACAAAAAGGGTATTATAAACTCCATGCCCTTTTTTTTATGATGTCGTATTTCCTTTCTGGTATTCAAATAGAAGAATGTTTTCAATGGGGTCTTAGTATCTGAAAAACGGAAGAACTGGAAATGTTATTGAATTTGTGAATAATTATTAAGGGGCTCTAAAGGTCTAGAGGAGTTGTATGTAAAGGCAATTAGAGATTCTTTCCCATGGAGCAAGGACACAGATAATAATTGGTGAGTAAAGATTAATGAGAACATGATTTTTTTTGCTTGGCACAAGAGCAGCATGAAATGAAAGTAATTTGAAGAAAGAGCAAGACTAAAGAATAAATCATAAACTCAGATCAAAAGCACACTAGAGGCATTTTTTTAAAAAAGGACCAAACCAAACCAAAACCCAGAAAGTGGATGGCAAAAAGTATGCCTGAAAGGGGATCTAAATGCTCTAGTGGTATTTCTCATTGTACTGAATATGTGATAGATCTAAGTTTAAAACTTTCAGTAAATGCTTTTCTCTTTTTTTTTTTCTGTTGGAGGGGAGTATATGGGCTTTGAAGAAGACGAAGTGGCTAGTTGTGAGTTACCTGCATAAACTGGGGATTTATGATGACAGTTATAACTAAGAACAGAGGACAATGTATGCTAAACTACAATTAGTGCTAAGCAGAAGCCATAATTTCTTGTTCAAATACAGAACTTAATGATTTTGAAATGTATCATCTTCAACAGAGCTCAAAACACAGTTTCATTATGTTCATTACAGGATGGGAATTTTCAAAGTTCTAGTTTAAAAACTTAGTGATTCTTCTGAGATTTTTGCAATATCAAATGAAATTTAGATTTTTCAATATGAAATGAAATCAAGATTTGAGAGCATTGGATGTTTCATTTTGCATAAAAAAATCTTGATCAGCATATTTTGTTTTTAAAATGTTTAGACCTGATGGTTTACTGGTTTTACCTTTTAATCCTATTCACCGTATTTATTCTTATTTGCAGTAAGTTGAGTAAAAGAAAAGGAGAGGGAGATTAGGTGATTCCAAAAAATCCCCAAACAGGGCCCTGTAGCTGTGCCTGCCCCGCCTTGCCCAGAACGAGATCAAAAGGAGTGCCTCAGAATAGATCTAGTTTCAGAGGGGTATGAGAAACCCCTGGATGTTTGGTATGTATCCATTTTTTTCACTCATCACCACTGAGAGGCAGATCACCTCTACATGACTGCTTCTCCTTCCTGAGGTGGCAGCTTCCCCATACTTTGAGGGAGCTAATGTCAGGGCACAGATCTGTTCTGCCTGCAAGAGTGCTGCTACAAATGTTATTTGAATGAAAAGGAACTCTGAATTGTCTCCTGCTGTAACCAGCTCTCCACTGCTCAGTGCTGCTAACCCCCATTGTTGAGCACCTCATCTAATTGTTTGTTTGGTTCAACCCATGCTGTGATGCATGTAAACGACTGAAACTAGGAGAACAGCAAGAAAGCAGATATCAAGAGAAGGATTTGATGTGGAATGTAGGGAGTGGGCATTTGTACACAGCTACATACTGTGTGGGCTTGGGAAGACATTAAGAGCTGGAAATGTCAAACTACAGCACAGAAAGTTTCCTTTAGTAGCAAACTGAGGTGATAGCCCTGGTTCTGTGCACTGAAGGGAGAGCAAAGGAATATGCCTGAACATTTGCATGTTAGTTGTAAGTTTAAGTTGTGAGATCTTTTTCTCTGCTGCTATTTGCGCTTGGCTTGTATTGTGACTGTCCTGTCTTCAAGCTGGATGTAGCATGTTTTTTTATGTTGAATGAGGCACCCGTCATATTATAATGTCATGAACATTGTTTTTCTTCAATGTTTGAAAGTCAAAATGTGGTAGGCATAGCTAGATGTAATAAGTTAGTAATAAATGTGACATGAAAGAATTTTCTAATTTCACAATATATATAGGAAAAACAATGTTTTATGTGTTTCATATACTTCCTCTCATCTTTTCCACTCCTAAGCATATCTAATGCATGGAAATTTTCTTCAGTAGTGCCCTCAGTTCTTTATTTCCAGTTACAACTATTGGTCTTTTGTCAGTATTTTTTTTTCATATTTAGATTGAGGTCCTCACAAAACCTCTCTGCATCCTCTATGAATGGCACCATCATGTTGTTTTTTAAGTCATCAAATCCAGGCTAAATTTAAGTTTTGGGAATCTTTTTCCAACCCTTTAAGGATGGTCTTTCTTCTCTGTCAGACGATTGTATTTTCATCCAGGTTTTCCATGGATCATGTCTTTATTAGAAAATCTTTTTCTTTTGCCTTGACATATGCAGTCTTGCCATGCTCATTATCTAGTCAAAATGCTATTCTGTAGTAAATATCAGTTTCCAAACTTACTCCTTTGATATTTTCAATTTCCTCCTTCAGTTTAAAGCAATAAAGATAAGCTATCTGTCTTTATTTTCAAGGCCCATCAAGACTACTTCTACCTGATAACCTCTCCTTCAGTATCAAGAGGTTGACTCTGGTTTTGATCAACATATGATGCCAGCTTCCATCATTCAGTTGTTAAATTTTCAGACCACACTGGATATTTTCTCGTCAGCTGCCTCTCATGTATCGGTTGACTTCTTCATAAACAGAACTGTTCACTGTCTTCCTTTAAATATCTTCTTAGAAGTTGTATGTACTGTGAAGCTTAAAACAAATCAACTAGACAACGGTTGTATTGCAGGTGTATCAATGCCAATGCTTATCACAGTAGTACTGTGTCATTGCATTTGTACTGTGCCATAATTTCTCTGTTGTCTCTTTATGTAGAATTCAAGCACATCTACTTTTTGTTGTGTGTTTATTCATGGCCCACCATAATGAGAAGTGGTCCAGGGTGAGGCCTCCTAAGATTTATGGTGATACAAATAAATAATAATGAATATGTGCTGGATACTCCAGTGTAGCTGTTGGATTCTGCTGTGCCTCATGTCACATCATATTTAATGCAGAAAGAAGGTGCTCCAACTAGTGGCCTCACAAAAGGGAAAGAAGAAGTGATTTGCAGCCAACTGATAAATTGCTAGCCCCAGAGGCCTTCTCAGCTGTCAAACCCAAGTCAATAGCTACTGGCATTGTGTCCTGAAAGCATCCCTCTCTTCTCCACAGCAGTAAGAACAGACTCTCCCTTCTCACAGAACAAAGTAAATGTAAATATTACAAAGTTCTGCAGTGTGTGCAAAAGGTTAAAGGACTTTTTGTACTTCCATAGCATCCTTCTGCTCCTTAGTGCATCCCCTTCCTGACACAGCGTCTCTTGGTACAGAAATCTTGAATAACCACAAGCAGTTGTTCCAGCCATGCTGTTGGTCAGTCCTTTTTCAAATGCCATCTGATGTCTGTTGAGAAGGAGCCTACACTAGTTTTGATTTGGTATCTTGGTACATTGCTGTCTCTTTGTGCTCTGTTTCCATTGTGCCTTGAAGGTAATGATTCTTCAGAAGAGTGGTAAGCATGAATTCCATCAGGAATTCTCCAGGTATGTCACCCTCTTTCTGAAAGTGGGTCTGCATGTATCCCTTTCCTTTCTTTCAAAGGCATACTGAAATGTCAGTGTATAGATTATACAGAGGGGATAGAATGTTTAGTGCCTAGCTGGTAGAGAGATGGTAGATTGGACTATGCAGACAAATGGCACTGTATATACCAAAGAAAATATAGTACAATAAGTTAATTTTATCAGAATAAACCACAAAACATAGTTACAAATTTTTCTATATCTGAATAGAAGTCTAGTTACGAGCTCCGGACTAGTTGATGGGATGGAGACAGTAACTGTGAAATACTACAGGAGACTGGTGTGGCTGTACAAACGGAAAGCTTGATCATAACAAAAGTTCTCAGTTATATAGACTGGATAAACTTAACATTAGGCCATCATGTGCAGGCTGTATTTTTAGGTATCATAAAGAACTACTTTTTGAGCAAACCAGTTAGAGAATCCGAAAGAGAGGAGACAGCTCTTGATTTAGTCTAGATTAACACACAAGAAGTGACTAAAGAAGAGCCATTCAGTAGCGGTATGTCATACTCAAGTTTCTTGTATTTGTAGGAGAAAAAGATTAAAATAAAAAAAGTCCAGTAGAGTTTAAAAAAGAATTGCATACAAATGAAGATACGGTTTAAATAAATATTAAAAGAGACACAAAGATTTGCTTTGTGATTCTAAGCCAATTAAATAGAAATTGTTGAACACAACAGAAAAGGAAGTTACTATAAATAAATAAAGTTTTTTTCAAAAAGTGAAATCCAAGCAAGCAAAGCAGAAGAGAGCACAACTCTGGCAAGTTAAATGTAGACCTACTATAAGGCAGAACAAAAAGATTTTGAAATGCAACGAGCTAAAATCCTGAAAGCTAAACCCCATTTTTTTTTAAGTG